TGTGTCTTAATCTGAAAGGGACCTCCAGGCCCACAAGGCAGACCAGGACCCCCTGGACCCCCTGGAGAACCGGTTCGTAACATGTTTTTTAACATGCTGATATTGCCTTTTTCTGAATATTTCTAGAAACATAAAGTTAATATCCAGGTACGCGCAATATGTAAAGTTGTTTTGTTTATTTTTGCTCTGCTAATGAAAATAGTATAGGATTACGATATTGGGGAATAAAATAAATATTTGTTTGTATTGCGTCTCATTTTCTAATGTTGTATCTAATGATGCTCTAAATGGTTCTTTTTCAGACAGCACTACCTATTGTTGGAGACATGGGGACATTACTGAAGGTACTGTTTCATCCAGCTGTCTATCCTCCTGTGCACTTATTTTTACTGCAGTCTAGTGGATGCTAACATTAATAGTATGAATTAGGATGAACAGAACTAAATAAAATAAATAAAAGATGCTGAATTTACTGCTAGGTCTTATGCACCCAAAAAGTTTCCTTTGAGATGCATATCAGCAAGACTTTTGCAGACCTTGAAACCTGGCATCTCAAACCGAAGGTGTTTAAAAATCTATTTTAAACTCTGTTCCCTTCAGTCAGATTGTGTGGATCTTAAGACAGATCTTACCCCGTGTAACCTAGAGGAAGCATTTTTTTTTCCTCTATTAAACCAGAAGATTTCAGAAACATTGCCTTTCCTATTATATTACACAATATTTTAGTAACAAAACACAAATGACATAATATAGCCAGTGGGGATATAAAGCCCAATTTGATCTGAAATCGCTCTGAAGAACTTTTTAAGGCTTCTATAAATTATTTCATTGTCTGCTCTGTTGCTCTCTTTCAAACTCTTTACATTCATGTGTATTCAGCACTTAGAAAAATAAACATTCTCTCTCTGCTCTCCCTTTGATTTCTCCTTATAAGTACTTTCTGCTCTGTCTTCCTCCACTGCTCTTTATGTTTCTGTTTGGGCATCATGCATTCATCTCTATGCGACTGACGAAACGTCTGACAAGATAAATGCCCATTTGCTCAAATACTGATGCAGTGAGACTCTTAGGACTGAACTGTCAAACACAACAACACACAGAGCTACTTACAGTAGCTTATGCATTGTAATTCATCTCCGGTTTGGATTTGATGTGTCTTCATACACAAAGAAAAGGAAATGCATTAAAACATACTTAAATGTCAAAAGAACAAGCAAGTTAATGACTGCTTTCTACAGATTTTGAATTGGAGCAAGAGTCAAGCTGGGTCATGTCACCCAATAAATAAATAAATATTTTTTGAGGGCATTCTCTCTTCTACCTAATAAAAAAAAGGAATAAAATAAAAATGGGAAAATACTACCAAAACAATTTGCTGTGTATAATAATTTTGTTGTGTATTTAAAGGAATAATTCAACCCCCATATGGACTATTTTTACACTATTTGTTTTTTTTTATAATTTATTATTTTATTTTACTTTTCAATTTTTTAGCATAAAAACTTTTCTTATTTGGCGTTATTAATTATCAGTCACTGTTTATGGTATAGAGCAGCTCTAACATTCTGTCTAACATCTAACTAAATTTTAATTGTTCGGTGAAATATTCCTTTAAATAAATTAGTTATTTATTTGATTATTTTTTATAATTGTCTAATTGTCTATAATTGTTATTTATAATGAAGATCCGATTCACAGTTTAATGCCGAAATCTAAAAATGTCAAAGCATTCAAGCTAATTTTTTATTTTTTTTTTCTCCCTGTTGAAACCTTTTTTGAATGTGTACGAATTTCCTCTTTTCTCCTCTAATGCTATGTCGGTCACATGCAATTTGCTACTTGTCAGTCTTGCACAAAGAACACAAATATAAATGTGGTTCCTGAATCGCCCTGCTCTTATTGAACAGGTCGGACTAATGCACTAGTAAATTGCTACCTTCAGATAAACGCTGGTTCCACGTACGAAAAGTGCATCCAATGTGAAAGGTCAACGCAATCCTTGCAACCCATTACGGTAAACCATTGATTACGCTTCGCAAGTATACAGTTTCACTCTTAAAGAGCAGAAGAGAAAAAGGTTGCTTACTTAGCCCCAGAGTTTCAAAACCGCTTTTGAAAGCACCTTCACTTCTGCTTTTCCTGTTTCTTTCTGTATCAATGGGCAAATGTATTGAGGTGAATGCATCAGGCTGGCAAGGTTAAAATCTTGGGAAAAGGCTTAGGAAAAAAAATTTGTGCTTCCCTAATGCATCACTGCCTGTGAATTGTTTGTAACTTTGGGATTGACCTTTAGCGTTTTTAGCTGTGTGCAAAGCTAGATTCCCGTGCCATATGTGTCTATGAAAGCTGGTAAAAGCATAAATCCAGATTGGCAAACATTAATGCAATAAAGGTCAGAAGCAGATAAACCTGTCTAGAGCTCATGAGCACAAAAAAGGATGTTGGAGTCTGTTTAGTGTTTTTCCACGGTAAGAGTGAGGTAAACTGTGCCATGTTTTACTTAAGTTGTCTTTTAGAAGAAATGAGATGGAGGTCAAATTACTCCTCCTCATCATCTTTCAGAATATCTACTATAAAATTATAAGGAAGCATTTATGACATAATCATAGAAATATCACTTCTCGAAATGCCAAAACATCATCCATGTCAAGGTGTAAGTTGAATCATTGGTGAATTTTTAAACCATTTTAAATTAAAATATAAAGATGAATGAGATCATTTACAAATGCACAGTACCATTTCAGAACCTCAGTTTGTTGCATATTATTCAGGACTTTCATATTCAGCTAAATAGGTTTTATATGTTTTATATTAATATTTCCTGCATTCTAAGGCATACTAAAACTGTTAGTTGAGCAACTGACACAACTTTAACATCTGACGCAGTTTAGTCCACAAAAATATTTCTGTGCTACCATTTTGCTTCATTTTAATTGTTTTTAGACCAATAATTTACTATGTTTTATACATTAGCAAATCACTAAGATGTGTGATATGTATTTTAAAAATGGAAAAGTTTGCATTTAAAATAAAACTAATTTTACCTGCCAAATTTTAGTTTGATTGTTTCAACATTCGAGAAAATCCTTTAATTTTTCTCATGTGCATCATTTAATCACAGGCAGCTGTATATGATGGATCCTTTCTGAATATGTGGACCTAAAAAAAGCTTAATTTTGAGATGTGTTGCATCCTGAGCTTATCTGAACAGAAGGAGAATGAGATTAAAAGAGAGAAAGTCAGATTTCTGCACCTTATATTGTGTGTGCTTGTGATTTTGGCAGAACGCCTGCAGTGTGTGTCAGACCAGAGTACCAGGATTGCCAGGGCAGAAAGGAGAAAA